GTGAGGCCCTGAGTTCAAATCCCAATGCTGCCACCAAAAATAAATAAAAAGGAAATGTACAGAAAATACAAAGCAGGGCGGGTGGAGTGGCTCCAGTGGTAGAGTTGTCTGCCTGGCAAGCGTGAGGCCCTGAGTTCAAAACCCCAGTACCACCAAAAATTAAAAATAAAATTAAAATGATACAAGAAAAATATTACACAGATTTAGAGAGAGGGAAAAAAAAAAAAAACCCAAATGGAAACTGACAGCGCGTAACTCTTGGCAGCGAAACTACAAGTCTTTATTTTTCTTCTTCTTGCTTTCATTCTACATTCTCCGCAAAGCATGTCACACTTTTTAGACCGAAAAAAAGAAATAGCAAAAAAAGCAAGTGTCAGAGCTCGGAGGAGCTGTCACTTAAGCTGTGACAGAGAAGGGCTGGGAAGGATGGGAGAAGGGAGCCAGGAGAATCTTTCCTTTTTTGGGGTGGTGGATGGGGGGGGGATCCTTTTTGATTTTTTATTTTCGTCTTTCTCCTCCTGTAGTTTGGGGTCCTTGAGGCCAGAGCCCTCTTGATCTCGCTTGTCCCCTGCTGTATACAGAAAGCACCCGGTGCCTAATAGGTGCTCAGTCTCCCGAATGAATGCATGACCTTGACAGCTCTGTAGCCTGGGAGACGGAGATGCTCCATCCAGCTGGGGCGCGGCCAAAACCGAGGTGCGTGGTTTCCATGGCAACAGAAGAAGGTTCCCACGGGCCACAGCCACAGGAGGGGACTCGGGGACCGGGAGCGACGCGTCTTCTCAAGGTGGGGCCCAGACATTGGTGACATGGCGGAAGGCTCTTTTGGCAGTGGGGGAGGGGAAAGGCGCGTCCTCAATATGGTTGTCTGGTTCCAGTCACCTGATGGGCTTGCAAGTCGGCAGGCAGCCAGATGGTCAAGCAGTGTGGTTGAAGCCGGACCTTGCTTTGTGACTTCGCGTAAGTTACTTGACTTCTCTGAGCTTCGGCACGGCCTTTTGTAGAAGCGACGGCTGAGCAGCTTTTAAAATTATTTAGAAAAATAGGTGTGTGCTGGGAATGGGAACAGTGCAGCCACTGTGGAACTCAGATTGTGCTTCCAACAAAAAGTCAAACGGCTCACGTGTGTAATCCCAGCTACTCAGGAGGCAGAGATCAGGATCGTGGTTCGAAGTCAGCCCAGGCACATAGTTCCCTAGATCCTATCTTGAAAAACCCATCACAAAAGAGGGCTGGTGGAGTGGCTCAAGGTGTAGGCCCTGAGTTCAAGCCCCAGTACCGCAAAAAAAAAAGTCAAACATGGGAGCTGAGTGTGGTGGTGCACACCTGTAATCCCAGCACTCAGGAAGCTGAGGCAGGGAGATAGTAAACTGCAGTCCAACCTGGGCTACGTGTAAGTCCCCATCTGAAGAAAAGGACACACAAGCCGGTGCCCATGGCTCACAACTGTAATCTTAGCTACTTGGGAGGCTGAGATGGGGAGGATTGAAATTCAAGGCCCACCCAGGCAAATAGTTCTTGAAACCCCATCTCCAAAATGAAACCGGGCAAAATGGACTGGAGGTGTGGCTCAGGTGGCAGAGCGCCTGCTTTGCAAGTGTGAAGCCCTGAGTTCAAATCCCAGTATCACAAAATAGATGACCCAACAATTCCACCCCAGGGAAATGAAAAATCAAATAAATACTTGTGCATCGCTGTTAATAGCAGCACTTTTCACAAAAGGCAAAAGACTAAGGGTAGCCCGTCCATACACTGGAATATTATTTGGCCATGAAAAAGAACAAAGTACGGCTGATATGCTGCAAGCGTGGATGCACCCGGCATGCCTTGAAGCCTGAGTTACAGAATGGGTCACAGGGGCCTTGGGAGCATTTTGCACACATGACGCCCTGCTTTCTAAGCACAGCCCAGGAGGCCCAACCAATGCCTGGTTCACAGGTGCCATTGATGGGGTCCAGAAGCCACAGGGGGGAAGCCACTAGAGGTAGAGTTGGGTTAATCCACCACTCTGTGTGGCCTTGGACAGTCACTTGCTTCCTCAGTTTCCCCAGCGGTAAGTGGGGCTGTCAATTCCTATCTGCACGCCCTAATCAGGCCCCGCCCGCTTTCTCTGTGGCTGCACCCAGCACACTTTCTTTTTTATTTTTTGGTGGTGGTACTGGGGATTGAACTCACACTTGTTCTGTTTTTGTGTTAGACATTTTCAAAATAGGGTCTCAGGAACTACTTGCCTGGGCTGGCTTCGAACCATGATCCTCCTGATCTCTGCTTTCTGAGTAGCTGGGATTACAGGGGTGAGCCACCCGGCCCAGTACACAAAAACGGAACGCAAAAATTATCATCTGCTTCTAAATTCTGTGGCTGGCTGAGCGGTTAAGGCGCCAGCCTGAGGTGACAAAGAGCAGAGATCGGGGCCGGGTGTGGAGGCTCGCGGCTGCACTCTCAGGAACTCTGGAACTGGAGGCTGGAGGAATGCGGTTGGAGGCCAGTGGCTGGGGCAAAAATCGGAGACTCTTCTCTGCAGAGTAACTGCAGCAAAAAGGGCTTTCGGTGTGTGGCTCAAGAGACAGAGCGCCTGCCTGACAAGTACAAGGTCTCGAGTTCAAAACCCAGTACCGCCAAAAAAGAAAAAATAGCACAGTTCTTAGTAGTCATTCACCGTCTTCGTAGGTGTTTTTGTTTGCTTGCAGTAGTGGAGCTTGAACCCAGAGCCTTCACCTGGAGCCACTCCACGTGCCTTTGTTTGTGATGGGTTTTTTGAGATAGGGTGTCGCGCACTACCTGCCCCGAGTGGCTCTGAACCGCGATCCTCCTGATCTCTGCCTGCTGTGTAGCTGGGATTACAGGAGTGAGCCACGGCACCTGCTTTCCGCAGGAGTTTGGCACATCCTACACCCTAGGGTAGCGCCAGGAGACTGCGCCCGGCATTGGCTGGGTGCCGACATGCTCCGTGAATCGTCCTCACCTCCTGAGACAGGTGTGCAGCTAAGGAAACTGAGGCTCGGGGTGATCCAGTGAGTGGGCGCGGGTTCGGGACTTGAACTCGGCTCCCCGCCGCCGGGGCGCGCGGGCCGGGAACGCCGCGGGCTGGCGCAATACCCACAAAGCTCCTCCCCGCACACCGCCTCCCTCTGTGGAAGCGCTCGGTCGGGAGCGGGGAAAGTTTGGACCGCACTTCGCTCCGCTTCGCGAGTGTGGGAACTTCCCGCCCGCGCTTCCCGGGGCCCGCGCTTCCGGGCGGCCGATCGTCGCCGGCCCTGGCGTGGCAGCATCCCCGGGGCGCGCGGGGGACAAAGCGCCCCAGGCCTTGGCGGCGGGGCCGTGGCCATCGCCCGGGACGTGGGGCGACCCGGGGTCGCGCGTCGATCCCTCCGGGGACCCCAACTTCGGGGACGAGCCGGGGAGAGGTCCCTGCTCCTTGCCGATCGCGCGTGTAGGGTCGCCTCTCCGAGCTGGTGACTTCCCACTGCCCCGGCGAGCGCTGGTTCCGGGGAGATGCTGGCCGCTAGCTGGCCTCGTGTCCCCTGTCCCCCCACCCCGCCCCAGCTCTCCGGGGCGCGCAGCCCCTTCTCCGGCCGGCGTGCGGGGTGCAGACGCCCCCGGCCAGGCCCCCGGGCCCGGTGTGGGGCTGGAAGCTGGGAGGCGATCGCAGGCGACTCCCGGGGATCTCACGCAGCGAAGCGGGGCCGCGAAGGGTGCGGATGCCGCCGGCCTGGCGGGTGCGCAAAGCAGGCTGGGGGTGGGGGCGGCGGGGCTCTGCACCCTGCGCCCCCCGCCCCCGCCCTCGCAGCCCTCCCGGCGGGCAGTGGGAGCCGCTGGCTGGCGCTGCGTTTGCATTGGTCCGGGGCGGGGGCGGGGGCGGGGTGGGGGTGGGTGGGGGCGGGGGGCTGGAGCTGCAGCCCCCGGCCCCGCGGGCGGGGTGGGGAGGCGGGGGCCGGCCGGGGGCTCAGGCTGCGCTTGCATTGGCGGAGCTGGGGAATGGGGGGGGCAGGAAGCGGGGGGAGCGGAGCTGTGGGGGGGGGCTGTATAAATAGGGAAGGGGGGGACGTGCATCCTCGACTGGGCGAGGGGGGGGCGCTCGGCACAAAGAAAGTGGAAAGTTTGCAGCGCGGGGCGGCCCAGGCGAGGGATCCGGGTGCGCACGTGCAGAGCCGGGGACACCGGGGCCCCCCACGCCGAGCTCGCCGCTTCTTTTTTTTTTTCAATCTGCAAGCGAGGGGGGGGTGTTGTTGGTATCGCCCCCTCCTTCTCCTCCCCCCAGGGGTGAAAGTGCAAGAGGAAGTGCAGCCGCTGCCATCTTTCCTCCGCTCCGAACACACGGAGCCCGGGGCCGCAGCGCCACCGCTTCGCCACCGCCTGCGCCCGGCCCGGGGAAGGACCCATCTTGCTGCCGCCACCCATCCACCCGCTCCAGCTGCCGTCGCCGCCGCCAAGCTCCAGGGACCCCGGCCCGCGCCACCGCCCTCGGGCGCGCCCTGCCGCCGCCGCCGCCGCCGCCTTCGCCTTTTGTTTCCTCCGCTCCGGCGCCCCCGCCCCGGCTCGCGCTTTGCAGGGGACGCAGCGCGCGCCCCCAGCGGACCCGGGAAAAGCCGCGGAGCGCGCGTGTGCGCGCACGCACTCACGCACGCACGCCTGCGCGGCGGACCTCGCCTCCTCCTCCCCGCGTGCGCGCGCCCCCCTCTTGGCTGCGCGCCGGCGCCGCCTGGCGGGCGGGAGGGGAGGTGGCGGGCGCGTCGGCAGGAGGGGCGCACCTCTTGGCTGGCGCACCCCGGGGGAAGGTAGACCGAGCAAAGAGGGAGGAGGGCAGGCGGAGAGAAGAGGAGGGCGCGATCCGGCGGGGGCTGGGGGCGGCTATGTGGGGGCCAGTGTCCCCTGCCGTCTAGACAAGTCCGATCCGGGCAGGGGGCGTGTGCGCCGGGCGCACCTGCGAGAGTCCAGATCGCGGGCCGGCACGTGCGGGGAGTGTGGACACGTCCACCGCGCCCCGCGTCTCGCTGCCTAGGGGAAGGGCGGGGGGGCGGCCATGGAGCGGGTCAGCGACGCGTCCTGCGGCCCGTCGGGTTGCTACACCTACCAGGTGAGCAGACACAGCACCGAGATGCTGCACAACCTGAACCAGCAGCGCAAGAACGGCGGGCGCTTCTGCGACGTGCTGCTGCGGGTGGGCGACGAGAGCTTCCCCGCGCACCGCGCCGTGCTGGCCGCCTGCAGCGAGTACTTCGAGTCGGTGTTCAGCGCCCAGCTGGGCGACGGCGGGGCCGCGGACGGGGGTCCCGCGGACGTGGGGGGCGCGGCGGCGGCTCCGGGCGGCGGGGCCGGGGGCAGCCGGGAGCTGGAGATGCACACCATCAGCTCCAAGGTGTTCGGGGACATCCTGGATTTCGCCTACACGTCCCGCATCGTGGTACGCCTGGAGAGCTTCCCCGAGCTCATGACGGCCGCCAAGTTCCTGCTGATGAGGTCGGTCATCGAGATCTGCCAGGAAGTCATCAAGCAGTCCAACGTGCAGATCCTGGTGCCCCCGGCTCGGGCCGACATCATGCTCTTTCGGCCCCCTGGGACCTCCGACTTGGGCTTCCCTTTGGACATGACCAACGGGGCAGCCTTGGCGGCCAACAGCAATGGCATCGCCGGTAGCATCCAGCCGGAGGAGGAGGCGGCGCGGGCGGCAGGTGCGGCCATTGCGAGCCAAGCCTCCCTGCCTGTGTTACCTGGGGTGGACCGCTTGCCCATGGTGGCCGGACCCCTGTCCCCCCAACTGCTGACTTCCCCATTCCCCAATGTGGCATCCAGTGCCCCTCCACTGACGAGCAAGCGAGGCCGGGGCCGTCCTAGGAAGGCCAACCTGCTGGACTCAATGTTCGGGTCCCCAGGGGGCCTGAGGGAGGCAGGCATCCTTCCATGTGGCCTTTGTGGCAAGGTGTTCACCGATGCCAACCGGCTCCGGCAACACGAGGCCCAGCACGGTGTCACCAGCCTCCAGCTGGGCTACATCGATCTGCCTCCTCCGAGGCTGGGCGAGAATGGGCTGCCCATCTCCGAGGACCCCGACGGCCCCCGAAAGAGGAGCCGGACCAGGAAGCAGGTGGCTTGCGAGATCTGTGGCAAAATCTTCCGCGACGTGTACCATCTCAACCGGCACAAGCTGTCCCACTCCGGGGAGAAGCCCTACTCCTGCCCCGTCTGTGGGCTGCGGTTCAAGAGAAAAGACCGCATGTCCTACCACGTGCGGTCCCATGATGGGTCCGTGGGCAAACCCTACATCTGCCAGAGCTGTGGGAAAGGCTTCTCCAGGTGAGAAAGGCGCCCTCTCCCGCCTCCCCACTTAGTCCTGCCTCCTGAGTCAGCTCCTTGCCAAGATGTGGGGGTGCGGGACCTGGTGCGTGTGCGCGGGGTCACTAGGCCTCACGGGAGGCCCCATGCTAGCTTTGGGGAGCGTTGGAAGGGCCCCGATCTTGACATCGTGTGGCCAAGAGCGTTTCTCTTCCTTCGGGCAAGTTCTTAGGGACTAGGCTGGCCCTGCTCTCTCTACTCCTGGGGGCCTGTGGGAAGGAGCGGGATTCCTCAGGCCACAGCCACCAGGGCCTCGCCATTCTTCTCCCTGGGCTCCCTTTGTGTTTCCGGCACCAGGCGTGGGGCCCCCTTTGGGGGCGGGGGCGGGAGGCTGTCCCCGCCTGAATGGCTGCAGAGGGACGCACAGGAACAAGTGCATCTGGGACTCCTTAGCTCCCCAAGCACCAGGCCCCCCAGCACCAAGCGCTGAGTCCTGCAGGCATCAGTGGCCTCCAGCTCTGTCCCTCACGTGACCCTGGCACTGAGACGTAAAACCGGCTTCCTAATACTGTAATCTTTGATGCACTCCCACCTGGTGGCTGCAGAGCCCGATGCAACCCACAGAGCTCCAGGGGCAGGACCCCCTTTTAGAGTCTTTCCAGCAAGCCAGTTGGGGACTGAGGACTTGTCCCGGGGCAGAGGACTGTCAGGTTTTTCTCCTAGCAATATTCAGAACACAAGGTTGAATTTTAACTTGAATCCTAAGCCCTTGTGTGTGCCAGCCTAGTGACGGAGAGCTCCCTCAGAGGGCCCCAGCCGGGAACCAGTCTTACCGGTCAGACAGCCCCTGCCCTGCTGCTCGGGCGGGCATCTGGCTTAGTAGCCCAGCTGGGGACTTAAGGCTCCAAGGCTGGCCTCTGGGGACTGAATTCCATCCGGGTGGCATTCATTGGCTGTGGTGGCGGGAGAGGCTGGGGGGAGGGGAACACTGAGTTTCTAAGGGGCTTTAGTCTGGACAATGAATCCCACCCCCCACCCCCTCCGGGAAAGGCAGCCTCCAGGCAGCCCCGTCTCATTTTAGAGTGGAGGGGGGAGGGGGGCGGGGGGGGGCAGGGATTCTAGAAGTCATTCAGTTTCTGCTGGGGGTGGGAGGGGGGGTAGGGGGGGATCAGAGACAAACATTCACTTCCCCTCCCCCAGCAGAGAAGCGGGGCAGCGAGGCCTGGGCCTGTGAGCTGGAGCTGGGTGGTGACTTTGTCTTTGTCATGCGGGGGTGGGGGAGAGGGAGTCCAGCAGTGCGTGCGTGTGTGTGCGCGTGTGCGTGTGCGTGTGTGTGTGTGTGTGTGTGTGTGTGCGCGCGCGGAGGGGGGGTGTTGGGCTCTGGGCAAGTTTGTGTCCCCCTTTCAGTGTCTTCTTTTAAATTCCTTCTTGGTTCTCTGTTCCGCAGGCCCGATCACTTGAACGGACATATCAAGCAGGTGCACACTTCTGAACGACCTCACAAGTGTCAGGTAGGGGCCGGGCGGGGCAGAAAGAGAATGTAGCTGTACTCCCAGCCACGGCCATGAGTGAGCTGCTGTGTGCGGGGGCCGGCTGACTGACCACCGCTTTGCACACCTCCCACTCTGTCCCTCCATCCTCTGCCCTCCTTCTTTGTTCTTTACCCCAGCTCCCTTTCCCTTCCCCCATGGTTGATGTGCCTTCCTTCCTGGTCGCTTGGTCCTGGTCCCCACCCAGTCTTTGCTTGGCTTTCCTCTCTTGGTGTTTGCCAGTTCCTCGATTGGTGGGTCACATTGCTCAAGTGTCGTCTTAGGGGACCTGGCACCTTGCTGGACCTGGCTGCTGCTTCCAGCAGTTTGTAGGGAGCAGGGATTTTAAAAGGGCTCTTGGCAGTCCAGGTGTGAGTTGGAGCTCCTTCTGGGTCCCCTCAGCCTAGGGCGCAAAGCAGCAGGTTACACAGGACAGGGGCAGTAGGCAGTCTCTTCTCTGAACACCGACACCTGTTCAGAGCATCCTGAGCGAGGGTTTCTGGAAGAGTGGAGCACAAGGTGCGGGAGCAGGTAGGGAAGGCTGGAGTGGGTTGTCACCCTTGGCTGCGTGAACATCTGGGACCCTCCTGGCACGCAGAAGATTGGGTCTCCCTTCCTCGCCACTGAGCGTTCCTGTGCAGTCGGCAAACATGTCTCTTTCTCCTCGGTTGTCAGCCCTGTCCTGAGCAAGTGCCCACCAGCCGAGGGCAAGACAGGGTCGTGGGACACGGCTACAGCCGGGAACAAGCTGCTTCTCCTTAACCTGTTGGTGGTCTGGGGGAGGCTCAGGGAGACCGGCCGGGAGGGGCACATGTGCTGTAGTGAGGCGAAAAGGCCCAGGGACCAGGCCTAGGCACTGTGCACAGACGCCGAGCTGGGCAGCGAGGGTGGGCCTCCTGGGATCTGCCTTTGCCTCGCTGCCTTCTCTCTCTGTCTCTGATTCTCTCATCACAGAGCGCATTCTGACTCCCAGGTAGTGTGCTGAACAGCAGGCAGATAGGTGGAGTCCGGAGGGCAGTGGGGGTGCCGGTGGCCAGGGGGTAACCTGCGCTCTCTGCCCTTTTTCCAGGTGTGGGTTGGGAACAGCAGCGGCCTGCCGCCCCTGGAACCTCTTCCTAGCGACCTGCCATCATGGGACTTTGCCCAGCCTGCTTTGTGGAGGTCGTCCCATTCGGTTCCTGACACCGCCTTTTCCCTTTCTCTAAAAAAATCATTCCCAGCCCTCGAAAACCTGAGCCCAGCACACTCCAGCAACACTCTCTTCTGCCCAGCCCCGCCGGGATATCTGAGGCAGGGCTGGACAGCCCCAGAGGGCAGCCGGGCCTTTAGCCAGTGGCCTGTAGGCTAGCCTGGGCCTCCCTGGAAAGGGTAGACGTGGAGGGGCCGTGGGAGTGGTGGCTGGCCCCAGACCCCTACTTTTGGGAGAGGCCAGCAAGGTGGCTCCTGCCCGCCATGGCCAGCTCAAGGGCAGCAGGAAGTACTCTTCGGATCCCCCATAGCCTCCAAGCTTCTTTCTGGGCGCTCTCGCCACTGCTAACAGGAGGTTCCCTGGGCACCTGTCCTTGTCTGGGTGACTCTGGAGGTTGGTGCATTCCCAGGAGCCAAGCGCCAGCTTATCTGCTCCTCCCACTCTGGGACAGAAACTGCCTCCAGAGAAGCCACTGGCACAAGTCCAGCTGGGGTCAGCTGTGCCCTCTTCCCTTCCTTCTCAGACAGGCCCTGCTTTCACTTCTGGCTAGTGAAGTAGACGTGCGTGTTTTCGAGGTTCGTTAGCTGGTCTGCTCAGGAACTAAACTAACCAGTAGCTTTATAGTGGGCCACCAGTATGGAGTGCTAGGTTGATAAAAGCCGATGTAGTGCCCTTCCCAGATCCCCACTGGTGTGTTCTTCAGCCCCCTGCAGGCTCCGCAGGGAGAACAGGAGTGATGATAAAAGTTTTCATTCTAACATTTGAGGCTTTGTGTGTTTTGTCCTTGGTCTGTGTCATAACACTGACTTCGTTATCCCTTGGTGTACGAGCCCACTCCTGCACACACTCTCACAGACCTCCTGCTCTGCCTCTGGCCCTGTAACCACACTTTCCCTAACAAGGACCCAGCAGGTGACATGCCAGCTCTCATGGCCTGGGGTTAGTTAAACAGCTGGACACCCATTTGGTGCTGTGTGGTGTGCTGGCAGCATCAGCGGTGGAGATGGTTCTCTGGGAGTTGGTTTCTTGGGTCCCTGGCAGGCTGGGCACAGGCCATACCTCCTGGCCTTCCTGATGGCACAGAGGATGAAAAAGGCCCAGTCACAGAGACTGGCTGCCATGCTTGTGGAAAGGCCATCCAAAGGCAGGGTGACCCAGGCCTCCTTCAGGTTGGCCTGAGTTTAACTGGCTGGTCCATGTGCCCAGGCACTGCTGGATTTATGAGCTCAGGATGGGGACCCTTAATCCCTGCAGGGAATTCAGCCTGGAGCTCAGACACTCGAGCCCCTCAGATCTTTCCTGTTGCTTCCACTGGCCCCACTTCTTGGGCTGGTTAGACAAGAAGTGAATTGGGGTACACTCAAAAAAAAAGGGGGTTGGACTTCCACGCCCTGCCCTCACTCTTCTGGACGGGAGGAGAAAGTTACTGAGGACGCCCCTGAGGCTGCCAGCCTTGAAAGGCCACCAAGGGTGGGATGTGCACTGCTGTCCTTGGTGCCCTTTGGGTCCTGTTCCTAAGCTGCTCACCTGTCAGGAAGTGTGGGAGGTGAGCACATCTGGGGCTCAGTGTTGAGTGGTGATGCCCCAACTCAGGAGGGCTGGGCTGGGGCTGCAGGTGTGCCTCCTACCACTAGCAGGCTGCTTAAGCACCACAGGCAATCGGAGCATTCTGCTACCAGCTGGCTTCCTTCACGTCTGGGTGCCTCTGTCTTCCGCTATCTGCAGGAGGGGGGTGCTTTCTCCTGAGTCCCCCAGCATGGAGGTTCTGGGTGTCCCCTTTGAGCTCCGTCTCTCCTTCAGCCTCTTCTCTCCTGGGTCCGTCTGACCAGGCTCTTTGATGATTCTGTGTTGTCTGAACTTCTGGCAGGCCGAGACTTGGATTTGTACACTTTGCACAATTTCCCCAGAACACCTTGGGGACTCCAGTCACAGAGGGTCAACCCTGGCACAGAGAAGCCAAGATTTCTCCAGCTGGGCTTTGTAACACAAAGTTTTTGTTGTGTCTTTTTCTCCCTCAGAAGCAGATTTGCATCTGTGATTATGTTTGCTCAGACTGAAGTTAGCTTTCATTCCTTGAGAGACAATCAGTGGAGGACAGGGTGGGGAAGGCCAGCATGGTCTGGGTGTTTAATTCCGCTCAGCTAATCCCCAAATGGATAATCCACTTGAGGGAATTGAGGCTTGGTTGTCCATCATCTTTAGGTGGCAAAGCCTGACAGGCAAAGACTTTAGCGGACGGATCCCAAAAGAAGGCTGGCAAGAGAAACAAGGCCTCCTTTCATACCTGTCTAGTGTGAGGGTCCCCTCTCCCGGGACCCTTTCAGCTCCATCTTTCTACACCTGATTACTTTGGTTCCTTTCGGGTCTGAGGCTCCTCATCACTGGAGGGACGGTCCTTGGGTCACTGGCACAGCCCGCTCTCGCCTGTGGATAAACGGACAGGTGCGCCCCTTCTCCAGGTGGGCTGGAGAACAGTAGTAGGCTGGATCTGAGTTTCTTTTCCCCTGGTGGCCCATTGTTGGGTCACAAGGTCCCCTTGGCTGAGGTGGGGCCCACCTGTCACCATGACACTTAAGTATCCAGGATGCTTTCTGAGCTGCCTAAGTGCTGCAATTTCCCTGCGCGAATTCTGTCACCTTTCTCCACCAGGGAGCCCTGGCTCCTAAGAACTCTCCTGAGAAGCTAGCTCTACTGACTCTCGAGCTAGTAAGGACACAGGCTCAGGGCTGGCTCACGCCCAGCTGGCCTGCATTCTCAGGCTCTCAGAGGAGCCATGGTGAGGGTGTCGGGACCACCGCCTCTCTACAAGTGGAGTCTTATAAAGTTAGCTCTCAAAGGAGTCAACTGGACATGAGAAACAGATAAAAGCAGTATTTCACCAGGATGGACACACTGCCCTGTTGGAGGTTGTAACGTTTACTTAACAGGACGATGACCAGGAAAAATAAGGCCTGCGTTAATGCAGATACTTGGGACTGGGGTAGTCGGGGTGTCACTTTCTACCTGCACAGTGTTGCTTGTATTCGCTTCTGGCTTTGGTTGATCAGTAAGGAGATGACAGCTGTTTGTGTGTGGTGACAGTGTTCAGATGCTTACCTGAGATCTCAGGTTTTCAGGGTCCGTTTCTTGTAAGCAGGAAGTAGATGCAGTTCCACTCTGGCACGTTACTGGGGGTGAAGGTTCTTCGGTGCGTGAACAGTCCTAAACAGCAAACACACACAGAGACAAGAACGAGTCAAACTTGAACCCTGAACCTTGCCATAAACCAAAGCAGCGCGAAAGCCACTGGATTCGCTGTTCTTGGGCTTTCTGACGTGCTGTGTCCCCCAGGGCTGGGGTGCCTTTGCACCCTGCCAGAGGAAGGGATCTTGGCGAGAGAGGTCAAGTCCTCAGGCCCAGCAAATGCCTGGTGACCCGGGGCCTCGCACCGGATGCACATGCTGACCTTCAGCACCTGGGTCACCTGGCTCTGGGGCCTGGCTGTGAGTCAGGGCTCATACCAGGGGTGGCCATAGCTACGGTTCCCTGGAGTGGCCACACGGTCTGCCTTGGAGGGCTGCTGTAAGGATAGACTGGGTGAGCCCAGGGCCTGCTCAGTCAAGTGTGAGTGATGATGTCACACTTCTCACCTTAGCATGTCACACATGCTCCCATGTCCCCGACTTCGTTCTCCGAGAATTCCCCATACTAGCACATTCAAAGCTATCATTTTAGGGGCTGTGTTTCCGATTCAAACTCAGGAGAATTCTTTGAAGTCATCTCTGCTTTGTCCTGCCTGTTCTATCTACCTGTGGCTAAGAGTGATGTCACTTTTGGTTTTTTGTTAGGATGGAGATTGGAACTTGGGGCTTGCACTTGCAAAGCAGGTGCTCTACCCCTTGAGCCATGCCTCCAGCCCATTTTGCTCTGGTTATTTTGGAAATGGCATCTTGTGAACTATTTGCTTGTCCAGACTGGCTTTAAACCTCTGTTTTCCCAAATAGCTGGGATTACAGGCCTGAGGCATTGGAGCATGGCTCAGTGTCACTTTTGAGTGAAATGAATACGCAACAAGGGGAACCCTGGGACAGAGAAGAGGGAGACTGGTTAATATGGCCGTAACTCATATGTGAGTCACCTGTGGTCAGTGTTTCAAGATTAGGAATGAACAAATATCGTCTTCTCACTCCACAGAGGAGCCATGTTCTAGGCGTGTCTATGGTAAGGAAGCAATAACTCAACTCAGGTGTCCCATGGGAAGACATCATAGGACGTAAGAGCAGCTTTTGGCATTCTGAGTAGAGCCTGAGCCAAACTCGAAAGCTGTCTTTCTAAGGTAGTCAACGACATGGCCAGAAACTGGTTTTGCCTCGTGACACACTAGGTCGGGTGTGCAATGCCTGGTTTCACCTCATTCTGTTTTTCTTTCTCAGACCTGCAACGCTTCTTTTGCCACCCGAGACCGTCTGCGCTCCCACCTGGCCTGTCATGAAGACAAGGTGCCCTGCCAGGTGTGTGGGAAGTATTTACGGGCAGCGTACATGGCAGACCACCTGAAGAAGCATAGCGAGGGGCCCAGCAACTTCTGCAGCATCTGTAACCGAGGTACTCTCCCCACTGTCTTGTCCCTCCGGAGGACGGCCTGAGCTGGTGTGGGAGGCCCAGGGGGTCTCGACCAGCCTTCCTCCCACTTACTCTGCGCGGCCCTCCCTTCCCTCTGAACAAAAAACGTCTTCGTCACCCAGCTAGCTGTTTTCTAGCCCTTCCTTCCCAAGAAGCTTGGGGTGTTTGGAAGGGAGGCCCCATGAGACTACAGATGGGAACAGAAGAGGTGATTCCTGAGCTTGGGGCCAAACGCACCTGCTGCTCAGGTGGCAGGGTGGAATACCTTTTGCAAACGTGAATGGGGGAGTCACTGAGCCACCAAGTCGGATGTAAAGGGCATTCAGTGGCGTATGAGATGGAGCAGTCAGGGAGTGAGGTTGAACAAGATGAGACAAGGTAGATCGTGGCCTTTGTGGGAGATGGAGGTGGAAGGTGCTCCAAGCCCGGTGGTCTGCTTGAAGATGAGCTTGGCCGAGGTGGTGTCTAGCCATGGCAGCAGTGTTTTGTCACATGAAGCCAGGCCTGTCCCTGAGGTTCCGCCAGGTCTAGGTGGCTGTTGAAGTGCTTGAAGTTTGTGTCTGCAAGAACAGGTTCAGTGGAGACGTGCTGACGGAGGTCAGGGCCGCTGTCTGTAGGCATGAGGATGTTCTGCTCTGCTCTGCACAGTGCGCTTACTTTGGCTGGGTGGGGACATTACTGGAACACTTTCGTCCCAGTGTTTTTGTAAGTATGGGGTATGGCTTAGGTTGAGCACTGATCCAGGATTCAAGGGAGCCAGGGTTTAGCCCCAGCTCCTCACTGTGTGGCCTTGTGTAAGCCTGTTTCTTCTTCTCTCAAGTGGAATTAAGAACCATCCCTTCCCATCTACAGTCATTGTGAGGATCTCAAGATATAAGGTGGGTGAAATTTCTGAACCCACAAGGAGCTGCATTTGGGAGAACCCATCCTGACACTCCTAACAGTGGTAGAAAGGTACTGCTCACCCTGGTTTGGACCAGGTACAATGCCGGGTAGGCCTTGGCTGGACTCCTGGGCGGCTGCCTGTCTCCATGTGTCTATCTAGAGGGTCCTGGTGGAGGGAAGATTGCTGAGTGGCTGGGTTTTTTTGGTGTCATGGGCTGCACACCTGAGGTTTGCCTTGAGGGCCACTGGATGTCCATGTTTGTTCCACTAGGAACCATGCTGGGAAAGAGGGGAAGTAGTACTTGAAGCTGATTAAGCTGTCTGTCCTGTTTTCTGATATGTCACAGTCCATTTCTGGCAGAGCTCTGCCCACTCTGTGAGCAAGCAGTGGGGTTGAGCACGCAGGGAGAGTTACCAGGATAGTCTTGACCCGGGCTGCTCCAGAAAAGCTGGTTTCTTGCTTCATCCTAACCTGGCTTCCTGACAGTACCCCCAAATAACTTGAAGCCTGCTGTAATGTTTCATCAGTAGACTTTTGTCAAGTTTTCACTATTGAAGTCACTTGTCCCAGAACTGGGCCAGAGGCTGAGAACCAGTAACAGTGGAAAACCAGACAACAGAGTAAGAACTGCAAACCCAGGGCCCCTAGGAGCCCAGCTCAGAAGAGCTGAGAGCAATAGGGAACAACAGGAAAGACGACCCAGGTAGGACACAACTGATGTGGCAAAGCCGACAGCTATTTTTTCCCCAAGAGCTGGTAAAGAACACTTGAGCAGTATCCACAAGTTATGTGACTAGTGGGACAGGGACTGTAGAAGAGTAAAACCAGAGGCCACCTGGTCTCAGAGAAGCCAAGGCCAGATCTGCATTATGGGCTAAACAACTTTGGGTCCAAGAGTCAAAGCAGAAAGTCCTCCAGGAAGACAAAGAACAGCCCTGGAGCCACGTGTACTTAGGAGAGAAAACAGTGGAGTCTGTCAGAAGAGGAGCAGGGTGCTACCTTTATACTCACTCCCTAGGCAGAAATAGGAAGAGACAGGAAAAAAGAAAACAAAAGAAGAAAGGAAGGAGGAAAACTTTTTCTAGGAAGGGGATAAAGGCTCCTTCTAGACACTGAAGACATGGAGACATTGAAATCAGAATGCAACGAGCCCTGTGTCACCCTTGCCCTGTGGCCACCAAGGCTATGGATATAGGAATTGCTTGACTAAATGAATGTTTTCAGGGCTGAGTGTGTGGCTCAGTGGTACAGTACTTTTGTGAGGGTCTGAGTTCAAATAAGATAAAATTAACAAGTAAATAAATATTTTCTCTGCAAGGATGCAAGCAAAGGCTAAATGACAGACAGCTGGTCAGACCAGGTAACACTGGATCAGGTGAACTGCAGGTGCCCTCTGACAGCCTTCCATCCCAACAATTCTTAAATCATCGACTGCCTATAGACCTGCAATCCTGCCTTACTTGGTCTGTGTCACAAAGAAAGACTCCTGGCTGTCAAGAATGGGAAAAGAGAAAGGCAGCCTGCAGGCCCTAACCACGCACTTGAGTCAGATCCAAGTTTAGGACACAGATGACCCTGCCTTTGGCCTGGAGACCGAGCGGGATGTGCCTTCCACCATCTGTACAGAAAGATTGTTCGTGGCAGAGGGAGATATGGCTGGAAAAGCTTGTTCCCACGTTCTCAGCTTGAGGAAATCAGTTGGGCTGAACAGTGGAAAGGAGGGAAGGGCCTGGTCTGATGACTCTCTTTTTAAAATTTCTGTAGCATATGTGCTGGCATAGCTTGTCAGGAGTCTTAAGTTCAACGGAGACATTTGGATTCAAACAGCATTGCTGAAAAGGAAGCTTCTCTCTGTCAGGTGAACACACAAGTGGATGGTCACGGACAACGTGTTGTTCTCCCGGACTGACACAGTCCTACTGAGCAGCTGGAAATGATTCCTCCAGGGTTTGGACACAGGAAAAGCAGCCTCTAATCTCTGCACAGATGTGGGACTGGCCAGAGAACTCGTTTCTAGAATGTGAAGTGCAGGGATACCGGGCAAGAAAATGCAACTGAGGAGCAAGCAGTTGCTAATGAACTCATTTCTGGAGAGAGCGGGAGGGTGGCTTGTTGGTCGAGTTGAAGGTCACATGTACACTCTGCACCGTCATCATGTGGAAGCCTGGATCAAGCTGCCTCTGGCTCTTGGTTAATCAGTGGTGAGTGGGCGGAGGAGTTTAGAATTCTGGCTAAATATGTCTGGCTTCAAAGATGCATTCTCAGAAAGTCAGCTTCTGTTTCATTGCATCCCTTGGCTGCTGAGTTGCTGTGTTTGAATTCTGGGCTTTAAGTGGCAGCTGTAGATCCTTCCTGCCACCCCAGCAAGCAGTTTTGCTACACATAGTACAGTGTGCAGCTGGAGTGAAGTCAAGAGGACCCAGCCACGTTTCAGAAAACTGCTCTTCAGGAAAGCATGCGAAGTTTTGATTGAGTATCTTTTTTGCTCAATCCCCCTGGTTCAGTTCTCCCTCCCTCCTGTCCTCTTCACTTTGATTGCAGCGGGCTGTTCTGGCGTGCCAGGGGAGGACTTCATACTACTTCAGAAGCCCCACAAGGGATTAAAAAATTCCCTTCTAAGGTGGCATCATATTAACAAAAGTTCTGATAGCCGGGCATAGGTGGCTCATGCCTGTAATCCTAGCTACTTGGGAGGCTGAGATCAGGAGGACTGTGGTTCGAAACCAGTCAGGGCAAATAGTTTGAAAGACCCCCATCTCCAAGAAAATCAAGGCAAAACATTCAAGAGGTAGAGAGCTTACTTTGCAGATGTGAAACACTGAGTTCAAACCCTAGTCCCACCGAATAAAAAGGAAGTTCTGCTATCTGGTGCTGGGTGTCAGGCCGGTGTCACCTGGTTCTGCTTGGCTTGGAGGTCTCCACAGCACCAAGGGCCAGGACTGACAGCCTCTTTCCCACTAGCCTTGTCGACTTACTCACTACAGCCTCCTTCTTAGGAATGTCCTGTTCCCCGGTGACTGGCCCCAGGCCAACCACTTAAATTGCAGCACAAGACGTCTTGTACCAGGCAGGATAGGGTGCTACCACCTGGTCCAGGTGTATCTTTGAAGTAGCTGTGTTGGGAAAGAAAGGAAAATTCCTCTGATCCTGCATTTCCCTCCAGAACCACCAACTTTTGCTGCTGTTGGAGTATTTGTAAAACCAAGCTTCCTTGCAGGCCACCCCTGTCTGCCCAGCAACATGACAGAGTGTTGGTGACAATGAACCCTACTGCAAAAGTCCAAAGGATGCTTCTAGGGTCTTGGCCCAAGACACAGGATCCTCTAAAGAGACTTGCCAGTCATCCAGGGTGGCACACTGTCCTGGGTTGGAGTGAGCTGTACACGTGACTGAAAGTCACTTCATCTCATCAAGCCTCTTGTTTGTTCATCTGTAAAACACAGCAATTCTCCACACACAGGACATTAAGAAAATTCTGTGGAATGGTGTGTGTACCATCAGCGTTTGCTAAACACGAACCTTTGTTACAGTCCCAGTGATGTCCAAGATGCTGTGGGGGGGAAAAATGCTACAACAATTCAGACTTCATTTTGTTCACTCCAGCCTCTGACCCTGTAGACCGTGGCTCTCACCGTGCTCTTGTGACTGCATAATTTTAAAAGAGAATGGATGTACCTGAGAATGTGTCGGCCAGATCTGGAGTGAATTAAAGGGACGCTGTCAGGACACTGGCATCCCAAACAGACCTTATACTGAAAAGCTATGATTTCTGCTAAAGGCGCTTTCTGATCTTGACTGGGGCGGGAGAGGGGGGAGGGGGAGGCGGTTCAGTGGCAGACCTCCTTCGTGTGAAATTCAAGACGAAATGCTTTCACTGACCTACCTGGTTCTGTGTCCTTGGACTTGTGGCCGCTGTGAAAGTTGGCCCAAGGTCTGTGCCTCCCAGTGTGAAGATATCTTGTGGCTCAAATTGACCGAAGTGCTGGGGAGTAAGCTGGAACAGCTTCAAGGTGGCTGGATTGCCCCTTCTTCAAAATAAAGGCAAAGAGACATTGACCTTGTTTATTCTTCTCTAAGTGAACCTGGCGTATGCTCCAAAACCAAAGCAAAAAGCCCACGTGGATGAATAAAAAATGACCTTGCTCCTTTAACATAATTTCCTATTTTTGTTATTCTTCAGAAAGTCTGAGTAGTTAACTGAATTCAGTTACTCTGAAGATAGGACGTTAACAAAAATAGAACATATCCTATCCGATAGAAGAAGGGGGACCCTTGAAGGCCTTCTTTGGGGATTTAATTTTACCTGCATGTGGTCTCCCTGTGACAAGTGTTAAGCAGCTTTCTGCTGGCTGGAGTCCTGGGGCTGCCCTGGAGTCCTTGTCTGACCACATTTCTAGCCATGATCCTGGGGCTGGGGACATCCGCTCAAACCACCTGCTACTGATGCCCAAAAGTCCACAGGCTGCTGGCCATGGTCCCTTAGTACGACCTGCAGGGGGCACTGCAGTGACGCTCATCCTGAGCCACCAGGCTTTTCTGGTTGCAGCTGTTTTTGAGCCAAGGAAGGGGCCCCTTCTAGGTGCAGCTGACCTGGGAATGCTAGCCAGAGCGGCCGAAGGAGAGGCATGGGGGAGCAGAGAGGTAGCTCTTGCTGGCTGCGGGATCTCATCTCCTTTTGTCTTGTTTAGGTTTCTCCTCTGCCTCCTACTTAAAGGTCCATGTTAAAACCCACCACGGTGTTCCCCTTCCCCAGGTCTCCAGGCACCAGGAGCCCATCCCGAATGGGGGAGCAGCATTCCACTACGCCAGGACCTATGGCAACAAAGGCAAGCGACCCCTTGCTCTGCACTTCGCTTCTCTGCGCAGACTGTGTTGTGGGGGCGCTGTGCCGGGTGTGGGGAGGCGGGAAGGCTGCCAGCTTTCTGGCTGCCTTGAGGAGGCGCAGAGGTCTGAGTGGCAGTGGCCTCCAGGATAAAAGTTACCATGGGTCTCTCACTCCAAGGCACTGAGTGAGGTTCTAGGGCACTGCCGAGATCGAGCCCCCCCGCCTCCTCTTCCCCAGCCCTCCTTCCTCCCTCCTGGCGGCCCCCACTGTCTGGAGCCCTGCAGGGATACCCCAGACCCCAGGGCAGAGAGAGGAGCCTGCATGACGAGTCACTGTGGCCTGTCCACTGCCTGTTGCTCTATAGGATGGCGTGGAGCTGCAGCTGAATGCTTTTCCTCACTTGACCCCGTGGGTGGTCGGGAGCCATTGGCTGGCTTCTCCCGTGACAGAGGTAGCTGGATACCGTGTGGCCTGTTCCGGACAGCCTCTGGCTGCGCTGGTGAGATGCATGGCAGTAGATGAGCTCGCGATTGCCTCTGACTTGGAGCTGGTTGTGGAGAGCTCCCAGCCCCAACTCTACTGTGGATTCAGGTTCTTCGGTGGTGCGTCATTGTTGTCGCCTCCTTGGGATGAGCCAAGGGGCTTTGACAGATGGCAGATGGCAGAGATGGCATGCTCCACGCTCCCATCACAGATCTCCCATCCCAGCCTGGCTCTCTGGACCCAGGCAGGAAACTGCTAGTTGGTAGTAGATCCCGGTGTGGGCAGGCAAGGCAGAGCAGTGAGGGTTGTCTCTTGGCCTAGCTTGTCCTGAGTCCCTGGTTGGGGATACCCAGCTGATGGAGTTGTTCAGAGTTGCTTTTAATCTATGCGTCTCGGCTGCATGGCTCTGGAAGGGTTTTGGCAGGAGGAAGGTGGTGAGGCAGGACTTGCGTTTGGAGTGACTTGTGTCTGAGCCATCAGTGGGTCTAGTTGAGTGGAGGACGTCACGGTTCTGGTTCTGCTTGCCTTGTGAGGGTCGCAGCTAGTCTGGTGCAGGAGATGAGGCTACTGTACCTCCTGGGCATCCTCAGAGTAGTCATTGAACCCCCCAGAGGCACCCAAGAGAGTTCCTAGGAGGTGTGGGTCTTTGAGTTGTTCTGGGCGGAAGCAAAAGAGGTCCCCTCTCTGTACCCCTTCCTTGAAGCAGGCTGAGATGATGGTGAGCAAAACGTGCACCTGCATGAAGAGTCCACTGCGAGGGAGGCTGGAGGCTGGAGGCCCAGGGCCCTGCTGTGTTGCCCCCATAGGCACTCCAGGCTCCCGGGCAGAGCAGCTGAACGTCCATGGCTTCTGCCAGGGCACTGGCTTTCCATCATCTGCCCTCCATAGGCCTGTGAGCTGGCCTCTCCTGACCCCTCTAGGAGGGTGCCTCCAAAGCCTGGCCTCACTTCTCCCTTGTGTTTTCTTTCTCCATAGAAGGCCAGAAATGCTCACATCAGGATCCGATTGAGAGCTCCGACTCCTACGGTGACCTCTCAGACGCCAGTGACCTGAAGACGCCGGAGAAGCAGAGCACCAATGGCTCTTTCTCCTGCGACATGGCAGTCCCTAAAAACAAGATGGAGTCTGACGGGGAGAAGAAGTATCCGTGCCCTGAATGTGGGAGCTTCTTCCGCTCCAAGTCCTACTTGAACAAACACATCCAGAAGGTGCATGTCCGGTCCCTCGGGGGCCCCCTGGGGGACCTGGGCCCTGCCCTTGGGTCCCCTTTCTCTCCCCAGCAGAACATGTCTCTCCTCGAGTCCTTTGGGTTTCAGATCGTTCAGTCGGCGTTCGCGTCATCTTTAGTAGATCCTGAGGTGGACCAGCAGCCCATGGGGCCCGAGGGGAAGTGAGGCAGATGCCGTGTCCCCAAGGACACGGCCATCAGGGACTGCTGAGAAGTGCTGTGAATGCGGAGGAAGTGATGTCTTTGGGGTCTGTAGCTGAGAGATTTTTATTTGTTTTTAACGCCCCCTACACCCACCCTCGCCCCATTTCCTCCTGATCACCCCGCGCCCAGTGGTCTTTAGAAATGGGCTCATCTGATACTCTGCAGACGTACCTGTGAGGCCCGGCTTGCGACCAGGGCAGAAAACACTACATAGGCCTCTAAGTCAGCACCACTCCCGGTTTCTCTTATGTGCAGAAGCCAGAATTCCTGGTGCTCAATTCTTAGTGACCCCAACCCCAAGCCCAAGCCCAAGCCCCATGGCATTCTGGGACCTCAGAGATTTTGGTTCCTTCACACTTCCCCAATTCCTATTTCCCTTCAAAAGAAACCTCAGTAGGGTCTCCGCACACTCACACAACCTCGATGCCCAACTGTTTTAAGGAAGCCCGAAGCCTGCAGCATCCCACGGACCATGGGTGAGTGCCCTCCAAGAGCCCCCAGGCTGAGCCCTTGACCTGGAGGGCCTCCCACCTTCCTGAGCCCTGCTGGAGGCTAGCATTTCACTGCTAGCCCGATAAACTCAGCTACTGAGGACGCCCCACCCCAAATTCCATCTCTTACACAATCTTAACCATTCAACTTGCTGTTGGGTTCTAATTCTATAATTATTATTATTATTGGTATTATTTTTAGGACCAGTTGTAGTGAATTGCTACTGAAAGCTATCCCAGGTAATACAGAGCTCTTTGTAAACCGCAGTCACACGTTAGGGTTAGTATTAAACCTTGTTTAGATGTACCATAATTAACTTGGCTAGTTGATCGTTTGAAGTCTATGGAAGAAATAGTTTTATGCAAAATTTAAAAAAAAAAAATGCCAGTCTGGTCAGGAAGGTAGGAGGTGTCAATGCTGTGGGGAGCCAGGAAGGTCTAGAGCCAGCAGGTAGGGACATTGTGTACCTTGACTGTGTCACGTGAGCAAGTTCAGGTTGACCTCGTGATGTGAATTGATCTGATCAGACTGTATTAAAAACATTAGTACCTTGCTCTGCCTGCTCCCCTGAGTCTGGTTTTTTTGGGGGGTGGGAGGGCTTTGAGACCCCTGTACCTGGGGTGGGGCCAAGATCCAGGAGACCTCTACAGCTCTTCATTGCAGCAGCCCCACTGAGACCGACAGGTGGCCATTCCCACTGAAGCCCTAGCCACTAGGATTCATGCATTTGTTCAAGAATATCCACTACTTCTCTCTCCTCACTGGCTGTGTGCCCAGGCAGGGTTTCAGGCCCTGTGCTGAACTAGATAACCCCTGTGGAGCCCAGTACAAGAGAGAAGTAACAAGTGGGCAGGTTTAAATACGATTTTGGGTGCCAAGAAGTACAAAGAAGACATGGCAGGGTGAAGAGCTAGTGACAGCGAAAGGGTAAGGAGGGTAGTTCAGGAAGGTGTGAGGCAGGGCTGGGATTTGGGGAGAGAAAAGATGTGGAGTTAGAGGGAACCCCACATCATACCCTGCTGTGATCTAGGGAGGGACAAGGGCAAGAAGAAAGTCCTCACAGCCAGGGGCTCAAAATAGCAACTTGAGCCCCTCCCCATGTTATTTTTGTGACATTAAACACAAGGTTTTGGCATCATTGGTGGTAAATGTGGAAAAAGGGAGAACGAGAACAATAGAGGGCAAGAAATAGGCATGAGAAGAATTAGCTGGAGCAAGAATTCGAGAGCAGGAGGGAAGCCAATACCAGTGGCTCACGTCTGTAATCCCAGCTACTCAGGAGGCAGACATCAGGAGGATCGAGCTTCGAAGCCAGCCCCAGGGAAAACAGTTCTATTTCAAGACTCTATCTCGAAAAAGCCCATCACACACACACAAAAGGCTGGTAGACTGGCTCAAGTGGTACCACGCCTGCCTAGCAAACATGAGGCCCTGAGTTCCAAACTTCAGACGGCCAAAATAACTAACTAGATAAATGCAGAAAGAACAGACTTAAGGTCCTCCAACCATCTGCAGAAATCTCAGAGAAGAGGGAAATCCCTAAATGAATAGAAACAGCATGTCATCTCCAAAGAAGCAGCAAACAGAATGAACAAAAAACGATGAAAGAAAGAATGGAGACCAGGAGGGACCAAGTGCAAAGTCAATGTCAGTCTTTTTTTTTTTTTTTTGTAATGCTGGGGATTGAACTCAGAGTCTACACCTTGGGCCACTCCACCAACCCTTTTCTGTGATGGGTTTTTTCCAGATAGGGTCTTGACTGGGCTGGCTTTGAACCGCCATCCTCCCGACCTCTGCCTCCTGAGGAGCTGGGTTTGCAGGCGTGGGTCCGGCTCACCACATTGCTGTTCTCGCTGAAAGGCAGACTTCCAGCTGGGTTTTTTTAAATAATAGTAATTCAGCCATTTACAATGAGATCTCAGTTGAGTTTCAGGGCTTTGCGGACTGGAGTAGTGGCTTGGTCATTTGGTGTGAGTCAGCAAAAGAAAGGTTGACCCTAGCATGCTGAGGCCTGTGGACACGTGACTTTGTGCCCACACGATGAAAGCTTGATTGCATTTGACTGGGCTGGCCTGAGCTTCTGAAGACTCTTAGTCCTGGCCCCTGGAGACCCTGGCTGTGTCCATGGACAGGTAGGGACGTACGGTTGGAAAGGAGTGGGCCACACATGGCAGGAAGGGAATGACCAAGTCAGCAGGCAGCTCCTCCCATGGCATTGCTCGTGTCGGTGCCACAGAAGCTACACGAACATGGTGCACACAGGGCGATGACTCTTCTATGTGGCCCAGGGTAAAGAACCTATGCTTCTTGCCTCTGAGCTCCATCTGCTTGCTGACACCCTGGGCAATTCTCCAAGCCTCAGTTTCCACATCAGTGAAACAGGCTGGGAAGACTATCATTAAGAGCTACCAGACTACCTGACGCTCAGACAAGCTGTGGGTTTGCTTCTGTGATGTTCCCCCCCCTTCCTGCCCAGAGATGGAGCCAGGCCCCCACCCTCTGGGGCACATGGTAGGTGGCAGAGCCAGGACTGGAACTCAGGTGTGTCTGAGGTCCAGAGCCTCACTCCCAAGCTCCCTGTGAGAGATGGTTCCTTCATGCATGTGTGGGTCCCCAGTGCCATGCTTGGCAATGATTACATCTGTGCGCCTGTGAGGAGGAGGGAGACCCTGGTGAGCATGGCTCCAGAGAACTCTGACCACTGACTGCCAAGGATAGGTGGACCTGGAGGCTAGCAGGGTGGGGGCCTGTCTCAGAACCTTTTCTGTGACACCACAATTCTGGCACTTTCCCCAAGCCTTGGCTTCTTTATCTGTCAAGTGAGAGGGACAGGAATGACAGGGAAGGGTGCAGGGAAGCTTAAGAAGGTATATTAGGAGCTAGGTAAAAAGTCAGGCTCCCTGTGGGTGTGGGTTAACTTCAGCCCTCACCCTGGTCCCCTTCTATTCCTTCCCTTAGCAGCGTTGGGGGACCCCAAACCAACTCCACACCAGCTCGCTTCCTCTAGATTTCCCAGTCTTCACCTCCATTCCACCTCCTGAGTGCTGGGATTATAGGCATGCACCACCACTCCTGGCAAGTGTTTTTATTTTTTTATACATCAGGCCTTTATGACAACCTCCAGTCACAACCTGTTCCTAAAAACAATAACCATAATGATGCACTGCGTGACAGTCACCTAACGAAATAGGCACTGTAGGCTGTGTGGTGATCCAGCAGTGCAAGCTCAGGGTCTGCTTCTTCACCGCCTCCCTGCGCTGGGGTTTGCCACGGCTTGGCCCTGGCTGCCCTAACCAGATCCCCCACACAGCTCCACTCATCCCTATCACTAATGCTTTGATTTCCAGTCCTCGGGGCTGGGGACCACTAGGTACAGATTATCTTCTGTCTGGAAGGATCTGAACACAAGACTTACCTTTCCACAGCCTTGCTTACTTGCGTCTGCCCTCCTCTGAGCTGCACGCAGCACTGGACTGGCCCCTTCTCTGCGTCACCATCACTGTGCCCTGGTTCATGGTGGTCTCAGGAGACAGCCAGCCCAGTGCAAGCCCTGGTGCCACCACTTTGTAACTGACCCTGGAAAACAAAAACAGTTCTTACAGGAATGATGTGAGGAAAATGAGTGAATACCTGTTAAAACACATTGCAAAGCCGGGTGCCAGTGCTCACATCTATAATCCCAGCCACTCAGGAGGCAGAGATGAATAGGATTTTGGTTCCAAGTCAGGCTGGGCAAATAGTTATCAAGACCCTAACTCAAAAAAATCACAAAAAAAGGTTGGCGGAGTGGCACCTGCCTGGCAAGTGTGAAACCCTGAGTTCAAGCCCCAGTACCACCCCTCCTCCCAAAAAAAAGTGCATTTGGAAACACTCAGAAGCTCCCTGTGAGCTTGTCCGCACTGACCCCTTAACCTAACCACACCCTCGTTCTTACAGGAAGAGTATCGGGGCAGAGGTCAGCAAATTTTCTGTGAAGGACCAGAAGGTACACGGCGCTGTCTGTCACAAGTACTCAACTCTCGTGCTTGTGATGTAAGAGCCGTCAGGCAAGTGCCCGAGTGAGTGGGCACGGCTGCGTTCTGGCAAGCTTCCATTTCGTTTCATACTGAAAAATGGAATTTTCTATAACTTTTACCATTTTATAAAATACTCTTGATTTTTTTCAACCATTTAAAAATGTAAAAACCTTCAGAGCACAGTGGCTCATACCTGTAATCTTAGCTACTCAGGAAGCAGAGATTGGGAAGATCATGGTGGGGGGAGGCGGGAGTTAGTGAAACCCCCATCTCAACAAATAAGCCAGGCACAGTAGTTCATATCTGTAATGCGAGCGATGGCATTACAGTCTGAGGAGGCACCAAGCAAAAAGTGAGACCCAAACTTAAAACATAACTGAAAGTAAAAAGGGCTGAGGGACTTGGCTCAAGCAGTAGAGCACTTGTCTAGCAAGTACAAGGCCCTGAATCCAACCACCAAACAAAAAGACAGAGAGAGAGAGAGAGAGAGAGAATGGAAGGAGGAGGAGGAGGAGGAGGAGAGGGCGAGGGAGGGCAGAGGGCTGTGTAAGGGCGTGTGTGCAGGGTGAATCTGGTCCACCACCACACAGGCCAGCTTCTGCCTCTCTAGGCCCTCCTTCCCTGGTTTTGGCTCTTGGATTTCGAGCAGACTCAGGCCCCAGCTTCCCGAAGGTTCACAGTTCATTTTGCTCTGACACCTGAGCTTGTGATTTCTTGGTCTGCCAACCAGTCCATTGATGCACGCAGAGTGCAACGTCCCCTAGCCAAGGTCACTCCAAGGAACTCCAACACCCACACCAAGAAGGGTCCCTTGGGCTCAGCACTTGCTACCCCATTTTCTGGTCATTTCGTGCTCATTCCTGTCGGGGGGTAAAACAGGAGGAGGACAGGAGGAAGACAGCAGCAGGGAGCTGGTGCAGGAATAGAGGCGGAGAAGAAGGAATCCTGTTATTACTATCTGCTCCGGTTCTTTCTGGGTGCCCATTTACGTTTGCTTTCTGGAGTTCCTGAAAAGCTTGTTCTCAGGCAGCAGAGACAAATGAGGCCTGCCAGTTTAGGCAATAAATTCAGAATTTCACAGGGGTTGGAGGGTGGGGGGACAGGTGGCACAAACAATGTATACACTTGTAAGTAAATGTAACCATGATAAGATAAAAGGAGAAAGGGAAAAAAAAGAACTTCACAGTTCTCCTGGGAGCGCCTGCAGGAGGGAATCCCAGAGCCACACCTGAAGGTACCTAAAACTCACCCTTAAAGTTACCAGAGAGCCTGGCAGATTCCTCCAGCCGTTGGAGGAAGCAGGCTGGCAGGGTTCCCTCCGTGTAATTAGGCCTGGCTCTGGTGCACTTGGCAGTAGGGCCTGCAGGATGTCGCACACACCCCTCTCTCCCCTGGCCGCTCACCTGCCCTACACCTTTCCAAGAGTGGAAGGAGTCTGTGAGATGGTGTGATGCAGAAAGGAGGACGATTTAATGTCGAATCTGCATCTCTTGCTAAAACTGCTATGAAAGGAAATGCCAAATATTTACCTAAGACAC